AAATAGGACAATCAAATAGAAATGCACAGTCATTCTCTGACTCACTGAACCCTCTTATTTATGGTGAGATAGGAGGTCAATTCAGACAGGTTTTAGTTGATGAAGAAAAGCTACAGGGAGGATTTGCTTGATTCCAAGAAACAGCAACTATCATCATATTAGAAAATTAATTGCCATATCCTTAAAAACTAACAAGTTCCCAAAAAATCTGGATTTCTAGATATAATTTATATAGGCTTTAAAAAAAAAAAAAAACTCCAATACAGAGTATCTGACTTAATTTTCTAGACATGTATTTAGGAGGGATCCTCTGCTTTTGGCCCAAATAATAACATCACACTATATCCTGTGTTCAGAGAATTCTTAGTTTTATTTACCAACAGAAGACTCATACCATTATGACCCACCCGCAGAAAGTCAGAATTTCAGAAGTTTTCAGAAAGGTGAACCTACGTTGAAGATTTTTCAGGAATCACAAGACTAAACTTTTTTCCTCTTGTGTGTCCAGTTCAGATATAACTGTCATATGACCACAGCAGTAAGAATTTATGCTTAATTCTTTCAAAGGAATTGGCTTAGAGTCAGAATGTCTATCTGTGAAATTCCAAGTAGCTATGTGCTCAAATAAGTATTTAACAATATTGTCATGCCATCAACATCCTTTAAGAAGTCTTTACTGCATAAAGTAATTACTACATTCTTCAATCAACATTTAGTACCTTGCAGGAAGAAAGTGAAGGTTTAGCTTTCAGGATGAGAGGACTTTAAGTATAAATGATCATTTTGAAGAAAATAAATAAATGGTAATCAAAGAGAAAATTTATTGTCTAGCAGCTAAGGGGTTAACCACCATGAGGAATTTCCAGATCCTTTCTGCCCCAAGTGCTTCTGCAGGGGCTTTAAGCTCTTAGGAACAGCACATGCATTACTATTCCTGAACTTTAGACCCAACAACCCTATACGAATAGCTTAGGTTCTCTCTGTGGTGCAGAATAACCATCAGATTCCCCCCTTTCCCCTCCCCCCCCCCCCCATCTCAGACCACTACAATTGTGGTTTCACAAGAATTTCTTCCACAGGCAGAACTTATTATTCACATCATCTTCTCAACTGGCCCCATACATCATTATGTAAGGGCAAAGGGTCAGTCAGTTAGGGAATGATGCTAGTTAAACGTAATCTGAAAAAAAAAAAAAAAAAAAAAGCATTTTCAATGATGTGCTGAAACAAGTGTACTTCTACTCACTCTCACTTTCTCTCAAAAATAAATCAAACCCCCTATGTCTTCTCCTCCAGTTTCTCAAAAGACAGGGAGAGAAAAGTGGACTCTCTGAATATGCACCTTCCAAATACGGAATTTTTTATTAACCAATTTCTACCTCAAGCTAAAAAGAGTCAAATCTAAATTTTCCCTGTCTAGAAGAATACCTTAGCCACTCTGCTATAGCCACTTCGAAGAATTTCAGACAAGTGGCAAAGGTGATCTCCTTTGGAAAAGAGCCCTTACACTTTGAAATGTTCAAGTCTTATCTTAAAAATGCACTAAATAAGTGTGCATGGAGTCTCTACAAAGTCTAAAGCAGGTTGGAAGTGGTTGTCTCTACAAAAGAAACAGGTAACACCACACATCTGTCAAGACTAGACAATGACTGAAAAATCCTCTCAGGCACTTATCTCTAAGCAATTGCTTCTGAACAGCATGTAGTGTCATGAATACAGTAAACAAGAAAGCCATAAGTAGAAAATGAGTTCCAATATCAAAAGCCCCATCATTATGAACTCTTTGGAAGACAAAAAGAGCTACGTCTCTCTTTGATTCTTTTTCCACACACACAAAAAAGTAACCAGCAAGAGGGAACAGCCAGCAGCATTATTTTGGACAGTTTCTAATCCTGCAACATTTGATATTCTTAAGCTTTCAGTTAGCTCAGGCAGAGAAAGCTAATTATTAAGTTACTACAGAAAACAATACAAGAATACAGCACTCCACACACACAAAACAGACGCATATGGATATGCTCTTCAAATGGAGAGTTAGAAAGGAGCATAGAAATTGATAAACCAAGGGTGAGCCTTTTTTTTTTTTTTTTTGAGGGAAGAGGGAGGGAAGAAGAAAATGATATATTTGCAGGGAAGATCAGACCGGATTTGATCTTTCAGACAAACTTGTCACAGTAAGTTAACACTGACAAAGCAGCTCAAATTACAAAGAAAATAAAGTTTCTTTAGCTAATCTTGAAAATTCTGGATGATAGGTAAAATTCCCTGATTACAGAAATTAGAAGGAAAAAAATTACAGCTAGAAAACCATTAACATTCAGCATCTAAGCAACTGTCTGTTCTTAAGAACACAGTAAAAACTGCAAATTTTTAACCATAAGATTTAACAGGGTGAGGAAGCATTAGGGTGGCTCCTTACTTCTTTCTATTCTGGAACTCACCTTTCTACTTTACATTCATACTTCATGATTACACAGAGATACAACATACAAAGGCTTTCTCAAGAGCAGAGTCCACTGACATGGTATTTCCTCATGTTTGCTTTTGATTAAAGTGTATTCAACATTGAAAAAGTAGTCATTGTACAGATGCTGTATGAATAACTTCAGCAGTTTTGAAGACATCAGTAATGTTGAAGCTAGTCAATGAACAGATCACTGAATTCTTCAATTTATTAACTTTTTCTAATCAAGGTTCTACCAAATAATAAAATACAGACAACAAAACAACTGGTAGAAGGACTGCATCAGAACTCAAAGAAAAAGCTGCATGGTACAAACAAAGTAAGCTATCTTCTCTATTGTATCTTCTCACTCTAAAGGTGAACCTGGATCAAGTATTTACTATCATATAGGTTGTGCATCACCAAGTCACAACTGCAGCTTTATCAGTTAACACAGAAGTCATGTCCTGTAGCTTTATTTTGAAACAATTTCAAAGTTAATTGGAAGTGAGTAATTATTTGTACCTAATGAAAACTTATTGTCTTCTGGAAGTATGCATAGTGATTCTTTCACTGATGGACAGCTTTTAATTTCTAGAATTTTTGTGGGATTTCAGGCAAACTCAAAATATTGTTCTAAACTAAGCCAGGTTTCTCTGCTACTTCTTCCCTCTTACTCTTTCCCTCTGCTCCAACATGGGTCCTCCATAGGCTGCTGTCCCTTCAGGGTGTACCTACTGCAGTACAAGCTCATCTATGTCCCACTGTCCTTTTGGTAAAATAGCTCCTCTGCAGAGAGCTCATTCATGGCCTGCCGTCCCTCTGCGTGTGTAGGTTGCCTGCTCAACCATGGAGCACATCCTGTTTCAGCCTTGGTGTTCTCTCTGCTGTTTCCCACTCGGTTTGTTCTCTCCTTCTCTCCCTGTCCAGTGTTTTCTGTTCTTTGTTAAATCCCTTCTCATGGAGGCACCAGCAGCTTTGCTAATGAGCTCAACTGTGTTCTGGGCTAGCTCCACTGCAGAGCTAGCTGAAACTAGCTGTGTTCAGCACAAGCAGCTCCTGGCATCTCATAGACGTCAGTCCTGCAGCTCTCCCTGCTTGCAAAACCTTGTTATGTAAAACCAATACCAATGTTAATTACAAAAAAAAACATTTTAGTAGGCTTTTCTTTATATATATATATAAATATATATAAATACAAGTTTGATGCAATATTAGAAATAGTGCATATTACTATAAGTTTAGCAAATGGATAACAAGGTAGACCATAGGACTTAAGACTCAAAAACCTTGGAAAATAGTCACCAGCTGTTAGCCTATTTTCCCTGGGTCACAAACAGACTAATTTAATGCAGTGAGTAATTCATATATAATGAAATCTAGTTTATATTTTTTTTCAGTTTAGGATTAATGCACAACATTCAAATTCTGACTGCATTTTAAGACTACAGGTGGCCAACCCATTTCCAAGAAATCCTGATGCAAGGACAAAAGGTGAAATCTGTTTCCAAACATTCACGTTTTTTAGGCTTTGAGTTATAGGTAATTTTTACTCCAGAGATAATCTAGCTCTTCACCACAAGACCTGTGCACGAATTACTTCTTTTAGAAATCCCAGTCAATCTTTTTCATTATGGAAAAATCTCAAAGTGCAGACCTAAATCTGATAAGTCTTCTCATTCCATTTCTGTACATTTTATACATTTTCTAAATCATTCAATTTTTTTTGTTGTTGTTTTCTATTTTAATAATACTCCCCTCATATCTCAAATCAGTGAGTACAGTATTATGAGAAGCATTAGGTATTTGCCTATAACATCAAAAGAATGCAAGTTAGGAGACTGTAAAAAAAAAAAAAAAAAAAAAAAAAAAAAAAAAAGGAAGAAAGCAGAAGAACCTGTTGCTTTGAGCCAGTCACGTATTTCAGCAAGAAACTCTACAAGCAAAATGGTTCCCTCTGCTCACTCTGGTTGTGGGAACCTCATTTCTTGTTACCAAAACCCTATGAATAAAAATGAAGCTGAGTCTCTGACCTTTATCTTCTACAGAGGACCATAAAAGTCTTTCATCCTGTTCAACTCATCAAAGAGACACTCAGAATATTTGACTAAATCTGGCAACAAACCAAGTTCTGTAATAAAATATAAATCTGGTTATATTAATATAAGGCATCACAGGCCTTCAAAAGAAAATCATTAGGCTGCCTTATGAAAAAATCAAGCACTTAATGTTAGTGATACCAAAATTCTGACTGTAACCAAGAAAAAAAAATCCGAAGTTTCTTTACAACAACAGCTACTTTCAAGCACAAGTTTTGGAGCAGCACCATTATAACGAGAATATAAACTACAGCAAAATTTCAAATGACTCTAAAATTATATTACGTTAAAAAAAGCTAAGAGCTCTAAAAGTAGATTTACATGCATGTATAGCAGACAAGAAAAAAGAAACCACAAAACACTTAAAACACAAAAGCCTATATATTATTCATTCTCACTTAATCTTACGTACTTTCTTCTCTCAACAACCACCTTTCATTTTGTTTTTGTAAACTTACCTGATGCTAGCAGCTCTCTGAAGAATTAGCTGGGTTTGCTGGGAAACTAGACACAAGCTGGCAAGCAAGAGTACTTATTAATTAGGCCCCACCCAGGAAAGCTAATTGCATTAATTGTGTTAACGCAATTAATTGCATTAAGTGTAGGGCAGAGTAAGGTTTCTAGCCAGGCACCTCTACTTGTGAAAGTAGTTAATGTATTTTCAGGGGAAAAGAAAAAAAAAGAAAAAAAAAAAAAACAGATCTGAAAAATAACCAGATTCTCCTCTCACTCCATTATTAAAATCATCTTCATGTGTATTCTGTAGATATTCTGTAGATGCAGACCAGCTTATCTGTCTAGTCGCAATTTTCTGTGAACAGGTATCTTTGTACTAAAACATAAACTTCGTTAGGCTTGAGAAAAATGCCACTGCATTAGATATATCTGTGCTTCACCAAGTCTTGTGATATGATGATACTCATGGGAGATGAGTATTCTTAAGTCTTAATCTAACTAGAGAGGTGGAAGAGGTGAAAGAACAGTTAACTAAGGAAAGCTCAGGAAGAAATATGACACTGTGTTGTGCTGAAAGGCAAAGCATAGGGCCGAAAGGAGATTAACAGTGGAGGTCCTCTAGGCTCAGCCTGGTGAATTGATCTGATGTAAAATTTTCACTTGAGCATGTAAAGCAGGAGAATGGCAATGACGTGACTTGATGATTCAAAACTATCAATACACAAAATGCTGAATACTATCAAAATAAAAGAGTGCCTGAGAAGTAGTGGGTCAGATTTAGAAGTGCAAAGTGCAGTGCAAAAAAAAAGTACTATTAAATAATATGAACAGGGTCCCAGAGTTATGAAAGGAAACTGAGAAGGCTTGGAGTATTTATCTTCACATACTGAGAAAATGATTCATAAGTACATATTACAGAAAGATAGCATTAAGCAGACCTTCAGTAAGATGAGTGTGAAAACATAATAGAATAGACCCTAGAACTGTGCTTTCACATGTAGTTTTAGGTCAAACTGCATCCACCTGTTAACCCATCCACCCATCAGGGCCAGGCTGGTTGAGGCCTTGGCCAACCTGATCTGGTGAGTGGGTGGCACCCCTGCCTATGGCAGGGGGGCTGGAGTAAGATGGCTTTAAGGTCCCTTCCAAATCAAGCCATTCTATGATTCTATGATTCTATGATTAACACCAGTTTGCTAAAATGTTAGAAACTTGGAAAACAGGTTTTAACAGGAAAATACTTTTCAATAGCTTTTACTTCTGTGTTGTGCATATTTACAACTTTCTTATAGTAAACACATTTTCACTACACAACTACTTCTATCCTGCCACTTACTCTTCCAGAAAAATAATAAAAAAAACACAACACTTTCATACTGCAGGAATGGCAAATGGTTCTGTATGAAGGCTCTCTAAACTACCCCTTCCAATAAAGAAGCATGTTAATGTCATATTTTAGCTACTGACAGTTTCTATTTCACCATGGCTTTTGGATGCTCTGTCTGTATAACTCTATTATATCCGTCCCCTGCACCTCAGCTCAATTCTTTGCTATGGCACAAGACAGAGTATTATCCTTCTGAAAATTACCATCCAGCTTTAAATTTCAGGGCTGTCATATGCAATATCTTGAATGCAGGGATTAGCAAAAGTTCCTAGTGAGGTTCAGAGACAATACCATACAATTTTTATCAAAAAGATTTAACACAGCATTTGGAATCTTTCTTAAACTTGCTTTCAAATAAAACCTTACAGGTAATAAATATACTAGGGTTTTCTTACATACCAGAGGCAAAATGAGGAGTACATTTTTCCGCGCTGGGTTACAACACAGCATTAAAATGTTACTGTGCTTTAATACACAAAGGCATACATATTTCCTGCTAATTTTTCCAGAGATGATTTATCATTCTCTCTGGTGTGGCCCTAAAAGGTATTTTATTCTTCAGCACCTGACAAGAACAATCACTTCTCCAGGCTTTTCTACTCAGGAAAGCTGGCATACAGTCAGCCTGAGTAGGGCTTTACAGAGCACTAACTGGTCTTCCTAACTGCTTGCATGGATATTGTTACTGCAAAGTACAAAATAATAATAATATAAAACCAAACAAATGAACAAAAAACAAAACAAGCAATCAACAAAACAAAACCAAATCAAACAAAAAACACAAAACAAAACAGAAGTAGTTTAGAATAGCTGATTAAGTTTAAATTCTCACCATATCTGACTGTGTTATTTAACCCACCATTTTTCCTTCCCACATATGAAAACAAAACAAAACAAATAAACAAACAAACAAAAAAAAAACTATGATTAGAAAAAGGCTTGTAGTTAGCAATATTCCTGTATGCAGGCTGGAACCTGGCTGGAACTAACTTACTAACTTTCAGAAAGAGGGCATAGCTAGTCTGTATTCAAAGCCAGGTCTTGCATCAATCAGAACCCACAACACTACGTTTCACTTTTGGAGTTTAACTGCCACTTGGGCACCCTGACTTTTTCTGGAGGCTTTTCAAGCAGCTTCACAAACCACAGTGGAGAACAGAGAATTGCTTCTATTTTTTTCCCCCCTGGGTTGTTCTTCATCTTTACTACATTTACTACACTGCTCTCCTTTGTCACCATATCTTATCAAGAATCCATATCTCTTTTTTTTTTCTTCCTTTGGAGCTTAAAAATTAAATAGTGCAAAATGCAGCACAAATTACAAGAATGAGGGCTGCTCCCCCTTCTTTACTTTTTCTTTAGAGAGCAAACACAGTCCTCAAATTAATGTTCTTCCATTCGCTGATACAAATGCAACTTCAGGCATTAAGCAGATGGCATTACACACTCAGTGTTTACATGACAGCTGCATCTCCTGAGATAAAGGCATCTTCTTCCCTTCACTACTCACTAGCCCCTTTTTTTCCCTTGTATAGGAAGCATCTGGATCTGACTGCTTGATGAGCTTCAGTTATCTTTCTGGCTCTAACAATTAACTCTTTTCTACCAGGCATCTTCAAATGTTTGAAGGCTCTAGGTTTGGAGAAGTTTTGCTTCCCGTCACAAAGGAGAATTGAGAGTTTTCAGGCACTTGCTAGCTGACAATAATAGAAATGTTCAGGGAAAGAGGTGAGATTTTTACAGAGGTTACATGAAACTATCTGTATCAGCCAAGTCACGATTAGCGAGGAGGGGCTGAAATGCAGATTACTGGGACCTTCAATGATGCATAGAAATACCATCTCTTCAAATACATCTTCTAAAAAGCATTTCCCTCTTTCTCATAAAAATAAACTTTGAGAGGATTCATAAAGATATCACTTAAGCAGATACAAAAACAAAACAAAACAAACAAAAAAACAAAAGTGGATATGTCAATCAATGTTTTGTGTTTTTTAACATTTTTATGGCTTTGTATGTATTTTACTCTTTCACTGCCTCTGGATGATATTAGACTATTGCTGCAAACATATATGAGAAAATTACTGCAACAAATGTGTAGCTGACAATGAAATATAATTTTACTGAAATATAGAGCAGTAACTCAGTAATTGTATGTTCTAAAACATGATTTTTCTGTATGTCAATAACATAAAACTGATGAGAAAAACAGAAGAGACTGATGTGTGGAGTTCAAATTCATGAAGCTTTAACAAATTTCAGTGAAAACTGCTACAGTAGTTTTCACCTACATGTACCCTCAGATGGATAGAGTGAAAGGAGAAACAAATCTCTTGTTAGTCTTATGTCTAAGGTGAATTCTCTCCTGATTTACTAATGGAATCAGAATTTCACTATCTTAAACAAAGATAATAATATAATAATTGTATTGCAAAACTAGCAACAACAAAAAAATTAAAAGCTCCATACTATCTGATGGAGATTCCCACCCTGATGGATAATGGACAGATAATCAAAACAGAGATATCCCAGCACTAGAATAATCCTAATGAACATGACCATGGAAGAGACCCTGCTCTTAGATACATGATTTAGCAGGATGCCTCAGCTGATGTTTAGCTCTAAGCACAGTGTTACATTCATCCCTATGCAGAAAAGCCTTTAAGCATAGTCATATGTTTAAATATATTTGTAAATCATGGCCATAGCCAACTATCATAGAGCATCTGTTCTTTGACACTGCCTCAACCCTGTCTAGCTCCCAATTTTTCTGTTTAATATAAGAAATAATTTAAGTCTATGCCAAGACTTGTTTTCTAGAGTTATTTGTTACCAGGCTGCAGATGGCTAATGTTGCAATTTGTAACTCGTACAAAAAAAAACATTTTACCCATTGCATTTCTTATGCTATATGCTCTGTAGATCAGAAATACATGATTTCTACCTAGACCAAGAGAGTTTTGACCCTGATTGGAGCTAGAGAAAACTCCTATGGACTGAAAAGTAAATGGTAATAGGAAAAAAGACGTTTGTATTACTAGCATACTGTTGTGATATGTGTTGACAACCTGTTCATCAAGGAATCATACAAACAATTGGGAACACAAGTTTGGGGGTTTCAGTTACATAAGTAATATCAACTACATGAATTTGTTTATTTTACATTTAATTGTAAGAAGTCAAAAGTGATAAAAATAATTATGTGAGGCAAATTTCTGAGACTATAATGATGGATTAAAGATACAGGGTTAGATGGACAGGTGATATAAATTGTTGAAGTCAATGGAGCTATGACAATTTCCTTTGCTTAGAATTTTTCCCATATATTATAAGTTCCTGATTATAAGATCAAAAGAAATAGAACTATTAGGTTTAGTTTTAAATTGAAGCGGCAAATGTTATGATATTCTTGGTATGGCTCAAGTATCTGTCCTCCATACGGACCTTTTCATATCTTAAAAATTTTATGCATTATATGTAGATAAGTATTGCCAGAAGCACTTTCTATTACCAGATTCTACTGTAATGAAAGATAGGGATAGAATTTGGAAGGAGACATTCATCATATTTCTTTCTTGATTTAGTTAATATAAAATCTTTTAATGTAGCACTGAATACCAAGACTAAGCTTTTACATTAGCAGCATCGGTACTTTATATCAGGACCTGCTTAAGAAAAGGTATTATTTCTCTTCATAATTATTTCTTATTAATATTGCTAATATAATTGTACAGTATTTTAACAGAACTCTCCTTGATCAATTTTAAAAGTAGGAATGAAACTGCAGGCTGAAATTGTTCTTTATAACTAGCTTTCATTTGAAGTGGAAATGAGGGATTTTCACTGACCTCATTCTCTTTGTTCTTGTGGTGGTGGATAGTCACTTCTGGGGTGTGCATGAAATACTGTCATTGCTTTTGGCCCAATACTGCTATCTTTACGTTGATAGCATTCATTTGCACAATTAATTACAGTGAAGTGCTGGGATTTCTAACAGAAATAAGGTGCCAATGAAAGGCTAGGAGAATTAAGCCCTGCTGAGACTTGAAATAGAAAGTCTAAGTCCCTGAGCTTACTCAAGAAAGC